GTGATGGAGCCCTGATTTCCTGGAGATGGCTGAACACCTGCCTGCCGATGGGAAGTAGTGAATTAATTCCTTGTTTTGCTTTGCTTGTGTGCGCGGCTTTTGCTTTACCTATTAAACTGTTTTTATCTCAACCCACGATTTTTCTCACTTTTACACTTCCAATTCTCTCCCCCATCCCACTGGGGGGGAGTGAGCGCGCGGCTGCGTGGTGCTCAGTTGCCAACTGAGGTTAAACCACGACAGTTGCATACCAGCGATAATGACTAGACCATTTGGAAACAGGCATCTTAATAGTTATGGGTGTGTAGAAGCAGAAATGAGTGAAACCTTTGTCAGAATAAGTATGAATGAATGAAATCAGATGTTTAAAATTAATATCACCTTCCCTTTCCAGATTTCACCTTGTAGAGTGCTGCATTAATTGAATATGTCCCAAGGTCACATACATGCACCTCCCCAGATATCAGTGAAATTTCCAAACATTGAAGAAAATTTCCTCCAAACCACCAAATGTAGGAAGGGTTTTAAAGCTTATTCTGAATGGAACAGGTACTTTGGTTTGGCTAATAACTTGGGCCTAATCCTGCAACATTCGAACTACAGTTTCCATATTGAGGTCAAGCAAAAGAAATCTTCACTACCAATGTGGTTATGCTGGTCTTTGAAGGCTGTCTCTGTTAGGAAACAGTACAGGTTTCAGCTGACTTGGTTAATTGACATTAAAGGCAGTAAAGGGGGGATGAGATTTTTCAGTATAATGTTCTTTTTTTTTAGTTTGCTTGTTAAAGAGAAAGGCAATGTAAGTCATCTCAGGATAAATTCATTGCCTGACTTCAGAAACTTCACAACTAGTTAATGGCAAAGGGGTTAATTACATTTTGCAATGTTGTGCTTGTTTAGACCCCTCCAGGGAACTTAACTTGCCTTTGTATCATTGGAAACCTTTTTTCTTCATAATTAAAACACTGGAGAAGCAGAGTTAAGGAAACTTCATTTAAGCTTCTACTGACTTTGCTTCTGGGAGCTGATCTACTTTTACCTCTGTGAAAAGAGTTAGAGGATTAATTTTTTCTTGTTTTATTCCTTGAAAAGGCAAGACTGAAAGAAGCCTTTCTTTACAAAAAAGCTTAATTACTCTAATACAATAACACTAGTGTGATTAGCCTGAATCACTTTAAGGGATATTGCATTTAAAATGGTTAAAGCTTTTAAATTCATGCCTCTTTTAAAGATGTTTCAGACTGTGCTCCAAGAAGAAAAAAAAATTCTTTACTGAAAGAGTGGTTAAACATTGGAACAGGCTGCCCAGGGAAGTGGTTGAGTCACCATCCCTGGAAGTATTCAAAAGACGTGTAGATGAGGCGCTTAGGGACATGGTTTAGTGGGCATGGTGGTGTTGGGTTGACGGTTGGACTCGATGATCTTAGAGGTCTTTTCCAACCTTAACGATTCTATGATTCTAAGAAAGAGACATCTGAAATCATTCATCCATTTAGAATAAATCTTTTTTATAACTGCTTTGTTGTTGGGCCCTCCCATCAAACACTATCAGCAACGTACTGCGTTCCCTGAATTCATCCCTTCTGCTCCATTTCCATATGCCACACGTGCGTGAAAGATACTCCAAAGGAAGAGCTGGCACAAACAGGAACGGGTGTGGTAGACAGCAAGACAGGTCTTCAGCTACTCTAAATCAGAATTTCACCTCTAGGCAGGAGCACTGATTTTTGGTATCTAAGAAACATAGCTATTGATTTTGCTAGAGCCTAGCTCACCTACATTTATACCATCCTGTCTCCTCTATAAAGAAGGGGAGTTCTGGTTAAATTATGCCATTTAGTGGATCACAGCTTCAGAGGCTGTAGCCAAAATAGACCAAGGCAGGAGTTTGTGGCTGGATTCATCTCCCCAACACCAATTCGTGAACTGTTGATTCTAACATGCCTAACCTGATTTCAAGCTAGTATTAATTTTATGTATTCTTCCTGTGCCTCAGAGAGAAAGACATGGGACTCTATAGGGGACATTCCCTTCATACATGTAAGGTTGATCCAGACTCCAGCATATAGTATTGAGATTACGTGAGGAAGACAGAGAAATTTTGGTGAATATGTCACAGAATGCAATATGGGCATCATCCTTAGGCAGCCCTCCACAGAACCACCATAGCACGTATCTTGAAAAGGTGGGTATTTGTCATCAGGTGCTGCTGTCCCACAGATAGGCTCAGGCCTCTCATGAACTGAGACAGTGCCCATATCTGGTTCCTTAGGTACCTATCAGAAATTAATTTAAACCATTAGTTTCATTCAGAGTTCATAATAAGCTGTAACATAGCCAAACTCATGCTATGGACAAGAATAAAGAAGAAACAGAAGTTGCAAAGGCATTTTGTTGGCTCTTCCCCATCCTTTAAATATTAATGCATATATATGCATGTATGTATGTGCATGTATGTGTGTGCATCTGTGTATGTACATACACACAAAACCAAACACAGCATGCTATCTAAAGTAAATAAATGTACTGTATTTGTGATATGTTATATTATGCTTGTAATGAATACAGTATCACATTTTGGTTTAAAGGGAGGCTTAATAAAAGCCAAAAGAAAAAGAAAAAAAGTAAAAGACAAGAAAGTCAATTTCCTTACATTACTGAAGACCATATCTAAAAATGTTTCACTTACTATGAATGCATTTTTATGGAAGAATGCATTTTAACAAAAAGAATACTTTTTAACAATTCTTTCTATTCATTGTTTTCAGAGTGTGTGAGAAAAGATATTTAATAACTAATTAGTTATCTTTTTCTGACAATGATTGGTATTGATCTAAATTATATGGTCTTGGGGTAAGAGAATAGATTAACACTTTTCTCAGGTTTCCTGCTAGATAACCTTTCAACAGCTGCACACATCTTTTGCTGATTGTTCTTTTGTCTCTAATTTCTTTGAGTCCATGTATAGGCAATGCAGAAAGGTTGGTAGAAAAGGGCAATTCTTTCTACCCTGTAATACAGAAGAGTTAAATCATAGTGCGGAGTTGAACATCTGTCTCCACTGAGGTTCTGACTACTCTCCTGGGATCCAGTTGAAATTAGTAGGATTTTAAGTATTTATGGAAAAAGTAGGTGTCTGTGGTCCAGATCAAAAATATATTTAAGAAGTCTTATCCCAACAATTCCAAATACCTTTCTTGATCTGGGCTGCTGAGCTCCTGACATGCTGACACAGTTTATGGTTCTGTCAAGATCACCCCCTTGTACCCTTCCATTGGAGTAGAAAATTTATCTGCTCTCATACACTTAAACTGTAAACAGTTCTGGGCAAACTTTACACCTGTGTGTACACAACCAATGCCAAGTACAAAGAGATCCTGTTTCTGTGATTCCTTTTATATATTAGTACCAGTGTTGGCACTATAATATGGGTCTGTAATAATACACCAGTAATAATTTACATTAATAAGGAAAATGTGTGTTTTTATAAATAGATAGCAATGTTTGGCATCCAACCATAATTGTAGTGGGATATCTGACTAGCTGATTTAAGCTTCTTTTTTGTTCAACTTTCTCATAATACCTCATTGTCATCATCATGTTGTTTTTCTTCTACAGGCAGTAGACAAATAAAGTTTCCTGTGCCACAAAAATATTTCAGATTTTAAGTACTCGCCTACTCTATATAGACACAAAAACTATGTGTAAATATGTATATGTATGTATAATACACTTGTTTAATAAGAGATAATGAAATAAATAATTACGGTTTAAATGTGAATAAAAAAAGAAACAGGTTGGGCACCACTGCTTTACATGTCTGCTGAACAAGTCCTAATGTGTTTGTGGGGACGGGGATGGGGCTTAAAAGGAGTGGGTGAGCACTGAAGAGGGTGGGGATATATGAAGAAGACTGGACATGTCTGCCGGGCAGGGGGCCAACCCTCTGAGGATAATGAAGAGACCCTCACCTCACGCAAGGAAGAGATCAGTCCTGAATCTGATCAAGAAGCTCCCTGACACGGCCTCAGACCAACAGGAGGACCATGCAGTATAACTGAGGTGACCCTTGGTCTTTGTGCTGTGCTGCAAGGTACAAATATCACTGCCCGCCCAAATGGAAGGCCAGGACAAAAAGTGAACTTCACAGGAATATGTACATGTGGACAACAAGGAGTGTTATTCTACTCTAGGGAAAACCAGGTGCCCACGAGGGCTCTTCCTTCACCATTGCAGGTGTGGAGGGCCTGGCAGGTTTCAGCGAAAGTGAAGCAAAAGGGAAAGAATATATTTGTGTTTACCACCATGGGAAGGATGGAGAGAAGTACGCTTTTATTTTGGCTAGGCCAAAATAAAATCCATCAGGCTGTCAAAATACTCAAAGATTTGGGGTGTCCAAGAGAGTATTCGATTTTATTTTTGTAGATGAAGGGATAGAGACTAGTAAAATCATAGTAATGTACCTTTTCATTGAAGGATGTTAGTAATGTAAATAAACAACATAGAGCCTGCTGACAAAAAGAGCACATCTGGGTAGCAGAAGCAGGTACAGTTCCTCACTAAGAACTCTGTGAAATCCCCGTCTGACTTTTTTCATAATGACCTCCTCGTGCTCCCATATAGACCTGATATTAAATCCTCCTGTTGTTGTGTGGTCTATCTTTTGCTGTGTCATCTAATAAAAATACCCAAAGTTTGCCCCAGTGTCATGGTTTAACCTCAGTCGGCAACTGAGCACCACACAGCCAC